TGGAACCGGGACATGGCACCCGCGGTACGGATGGGGCCGAGGGGTGATGGGGTTGGCGAGGGGTGGGCGGGCACTGGGGTCTCACCTGAGCTCTGCTCCAGCCCCAGGTCAACCTCTATGGTTCCCACCCCTTCTACCTGGTGCTGGAGGACGGTGGCTCTGCACATGGTGTCTTCCTGCTGAACAGCAATGCCATGGGTGAGTGCTGCCAGGTGCATGGCCACACCGGGACTGACCCTGCACTAACCACTACCTGCACCCCCAGATGTGCTCCTGCAGCCCAGCCCAGCCCTGACCTGGCGCACAACAGGAGGCATCCTGGATTTCTATGTCTTCTTGGGCCCCGACCCCCAGAATGTGGTGCGGCAGTACCTGGATGTCATTGGTAGGATGGCACGGCATGGCAGTGGGGTTCGGGTGCTCACAGCATGTCACCACCCCTGCTAGCAGCCGCCCTCCTGCCCTGCAGGATTCCCCTTCATGCCCCCATACTGGGCCTTGGGCTTCCATCTGTGCCGCTGGGGTTATTCCTCCACTGCCACCACCCAGCAGGCTGCAGCCAACATGTCAGCTGGGCGCTTCCCCCTGGTAGGTGGCAGTGGGTGTGGGGTGGCTGTGGGCACCGTGTGGGGCTGCTCCTCACTGAGCAGTGCCCTGCAGGATGTGCAGTGGAACGACCTGGATTACATGGATGCAAAGAGGGACTTTACCTACAACAAGGAAACCTTCAGGGATTACCCCGACATGGTGCATGACTTCCATCAGCGTGGCCTGCACTACGTCATGATTGTGGTGAGGGACGTGGCCTGCTCACCTCTTTGGTTGAGTCCTACGAGGCTTTGGTTTGGTGGCAGTCTGGGGTTTATTCATACTTTTATGATAAATCACGAGATGGGGTGGATGATTCTTAGTAGCTCTTGATCAGTGCTCAATTGAACCCAGTGACTCAGTGATGCTGCACTCAGCTTTGGGTCCCTCACCACAAGAAAGACACGGAAGCCTTGCAGTGTGTCCAGAGAGGGATAGGGGACCTGTGAGGGTCTGGAGCATGACTATTATGGGTTGGTATTAGGAAACTTTTGTTCTCCAAAAGAGCAGTGATGCATTGGCACAGCTGCTCAGGGGAGTGGGGGCTTACCAGCCTTGGAGGTGTTCCAGAATCGTGGAGATGTGACACTTGGGGACATGGTCAATGGGATGGGTTAGGGCTGAGTTTGGGGATCTTAGAGATCTTTTCCAACCTTAATTACTCTGTGATTCTAATCACCGTGGCCACATCCTCGCCCTCTGCTCTCCTGGGTTTTGCAGAATCCCATACAGGAGTGGGGCTGGGAGCCGTTCCTTGTCCTTGCTGGTGATGCTCCAGCTTTGTGCCCTGCAGGATCCTGGCATCAGCAGCTCGGGGTCACCTGGATCCTATCGGCCCTACGACGATGGACTGAAGCGAGGAGTGTTCATTCGCAACGCCACGGGGCAGCCACTTATTGGGAAGGTGTGAGGGGCACAGCCCCGTCCTGGAGTGTGGGGGCTGTGTGGGGGCTATGGGGAGTGACAAGAAGGAGGGGACCCTCGGGGGCCCCGAAGTATGCCAGGGATGGGAATGGGGTTCTGCCCATCACTGCCCTTCCTGCAGGTGTGGCCAGGCCCCACGGCTTTCCCAGACTTCACCAACCCTGAGACGCACGAGTGGTGGCACGACGTGGTGAAGGACTTCCACCAGCAGGTGCCATTCGATGGCATGTGGATTGTGAGTGGCCAGTGCAACTCCCCAGCTCCTTCCCCACCTTCCCCGCTCCCCACTTCCCCAGCAGTGAGGGTTCCTTTTTGCCTTCCCCAGGACATGAACGAGCCGTCCAACTTTGTGGAGGGCTCCCAGGACGGCTGCCCTGACAGCAGCCTGGAGAAGCCCCCATACGTGCCAGGTGAGCAGCGCTGGGGGTGCTGCCGTGGGCAGTGCTCTGTTGGCAGCCCCCAGCTCACCCTCACCTCTCTGTACAGGTGTGTTTGGGGGCCGCCTGCAGGCGGGCACCATCTGTGCCTCCAGCCAGCAGCACCTGTCCTCTCATTACAACCTGCACAACCTGTACGGGCTGACCGAGGCCATCGCCTCCCACAAGTAAGCGTCAGCCCGCTGCGTGGGAGCTGGAGATGCTGGTGCCATTGGGGTGGAAATGTGGGCTCGGATTTGGTTGGGGATGCAGGGAACAGGAGGAGGGTTGGTTTGCAGCACAGCTGCCGTGCCCCCAGCACAGGGCTCAGCCTGGTCCCTCCCTGCAGCGCATTGCTCAAGGTGCGGGGCACGCGGCCCTTCGTCATCTCGCGCTCCACGTTTGCGGGACACGGCCGTTATGCAGGGCACTGGACGGGGGATGTGGAGAGCAGCTGGGAGCAGCTGGCCCGCTCCGTGCCAGGTGGGCTGCGGGGCCGCGTCCCCTTCTTCCCTTTGGGGCTGTGCAGCCATCCGTGTGCCTCTGCGCCATCGTTGTGCGTCCTGCAGAGGTGCTGCTCTTCAACCTCCTCGGGGTTCCGCTGGTGGGTGCTGACATCTGTGGCTTTGCGGGGGACACATCCGAGGAGCTGTGCGTGCGCTGGACCCAGCTGGGTGCTTTCTACCCCTTCATGAGGAACCACAACGACCACGGGAACCGGGTGAGCATGGGGCTGAGGGCCGTGTGTCCCCATCCATCACCGCATGCGCACATCCATGCACTGCCTGAGCTCCCGCTTCTCACAGCCACAGGAGCCCTATGCCTTTGGCCTGGCTGCACAGGATGCCATGAGGAGGGCCCTCCGCCTCCGCTACTCCCTCCTGCCCCACCTTTACACCCTCTTCCACCGGGCACACGTGGCTGGGGACACGGTGGCACGGCCGCTGTTCCTTGAGTGAGTGCTGGGTGCTGGGCATGGGGCAGTGGGTGCAGGATGGGCTCTGCTGTGGTGCTGCTCCTTCACTCCTCCCCAGGTTCCCCAAAGATCCCAACACGTGGAGCGTGGACCGCCAGCTGCTGTGGGGTGCAGGGCTGCTGATCACGCCGGTGCTGGAGCAGGGACAGACCAAAGTCAGTGGCTATTTCCCAGCTGGGACGTGGTACAGCTTCGCAGGGGTAAGTGCTGGCTGTGGGATGGTGTGTGTCTTCCTCCATCTCACCCCAACATATGACCTGTGAGCTGTCCCCAGAGCTGTGACACTTCATCCCTCATGGCAGTCTGAGGGCTGTGGTGCTCTGCTGGGATCCCCTTGGATGTGCTGATCCCTAGGATGCAGCCTTTCTTCTTTTTCTTGTTTAGGACTCGACCATCCACAGCAAAGGGCAGTGGATCCTTTTAGCAGCCCCCCTGGACACCATTAACGTGCACATCCGAGCAGGGCACATCCTGCCCCTGCAGGTGAGCTCTTTCCGTGTGACACCCCATTGACAATGGGACCCAGCCACTCCATGGCTGTTATAGGGTTGGGGCAGAGCCTGGGTCTGACCCTGTGTCCCCAGGAGCCAGGACTGAACACAGTTGAGTCCCGCAAGAAGGGGATGACCGTGGTGGTGGCCTTGACGCCGGATGGCTTTGCCCGTGGAGAGCTGTACTGGGACGATGGGGAGAGCTGGCAGAGCTTCGAGAAGGGGGACTGCACTGAGATGCTCTTCCTGGCTGCACGCGTGAGCATGGGAGGGGGCTGGGAGTTGGAGGGGGGCACTGGCACACCCACATCATACTGAGGTCCCCAGGGTGAGCCCTGCCATCACTGCATCCCCTCGAGCTGCTCGCAATGCGGTGCCAGCAGTGCTGGCTGGGGCAAGGAGCGGGTGCCTGGGGGGGCCCTGGGGACATTGGGTGACCTTCCCTGTCTCCACAGGGTGCTGTGCTCAGCCAGATCTTGCGGGCAAGCGGCCACCTGGATGGGATCCTGCTGGAGGCCGTCACCGTGCTGGGCGTCCCCACTGCTCCACGGCGAGTCCTGGCCAATGGCATCCCTGTGGAGGACTTCTCATACCGCAGTGACACCCAGGTGAGTGCTGCTCCTCCTGGGGGAGCCCCGGGCCCATGGGATGGGGCTGACTCTGCTTTTGCCTCCCCAGGTGCTGCGTGTCTCCGTGTCGCTGCCGATGTGGGAGCAGTTTGTGGTCGCTTGGACCTGAACAATTGATTGTCCTGGGTGCCACTGTGCCATTGTGCTTTGAATCCGTCCATCCCTTCTGGAGCAGTGTTGCCTCTTGCCCGTGTATTGTAGGTGCTGTGCCTGAGCCTGGCATACTTGTGCTGAAATGAACTCATGGGAGGTGTAAGAATGGGGCTGGCACAAGCAGGCCTGCAGAACTTGAGGGGATGGGGAAAATTGACAGAATGGGGAAAAAAAAGACCCAAGTGCCTTCTGAGACAGCAACCTGTCTGTGTGAGAAATCTGGCACCTGTCAGGGACTGTGGGGATTCTCCTGGTTGTGATTTTGGGATGGACGTGGGAGAGTCCCTTCTGCACACTGGACTGTGGTGGTCGGTGTGTGCTGGTTGTGGGATGCAGTCTGGAGCTCTTCCACGAGGGCTGGGAGTGGGGTGGGGGCCTGGGGAGAAATGCTGTGAATAAAGAGTGGTTGTTTGCTCCCAGCTGTTGGTATTGCTGTAGCCATTGGGCGCAGTCCCAGCCTGTCCTACCATCAGATCTCAGCCCTCCCCTTGGTTGGGACACCTTGGCTCCATCCATTTGGAACTCAGGAGCTGTGCTGAGCTGTGGGGTTTAATCACAGCCCAGCCCCACAAAGAATAGGTGGCTGCCCCATGGATGAGACCATATCCCTTGTCCCCTCCCTGTGCACCTGAGGGTGTCACTGGGGTGACAGTCAGGGCAGCCCCACAGCAAGCACACCACAGCAGTTCTGCATGCTGTGCATTGTGCCAAAATGAGAACTACACCACTTCTGCGTGCCCACCAGTGGCTGCTGGCTGCTTCCGAGTGAGCACAGCACTGAGAGCTGCAGAGGGACAGCCGAGCCCCAGCTACACCACGCAGCTCTCCACCAGAAGCTTTATTGAGCATCAGTTTGGCTTTACAGCTTCTCAGTCTGAGCAGAGCCACGAGGATCCCCATGCTGCAGGCCAGGCAGTGCTGGTGGAGCAGCTCACAGCTCGTTGTGCAGCGGCTGGCACTGCGGGCTCAGCTTCTCCTCCAGGACAGCATCAGGGGCGCACACCCAGGGGTCCCCCGTGTCCCACTGCCACTTCAGCAGCTGTGCACGCAGCATCTGGAAGATGGCAGCATAGTGTGGGTCAGAAGCCAGGTTGTGGCTCTCGGTGGGGTCCTGGCTGCAGTCATAGAGCTCCCAGCGGTCCCGATAGTAGTACTGGTGCAAGGTCTTGTTCCAGTGCGTGGGCTGCCCGGCCCTGGTGCGGTTCAACAGGTCTTGGAACGTGGGTGAGACGTAGAAGTCCTGGTCTATGGGGAAGGGCATCTTGTAGTTGAGGTTGTGGATGAGGTGGAACTGGCGGTGCTGGATGGCACGCATGGGGTAGTACATGGTGGCCTCGTGGTGGCTCTGGCTGCTGAAGGCGGTGGCCCAGGGCTGCTCTGACTGCAGCGCTGGCAGGAGAGATTTACCCGTCAGCTGCACCTGCTTTGTGCCAAAGATGCTGTACGAAGGGTAGGGGATGGAGAACCAGTCCAGAATGGTTGGTGTGAGATCTGCAGGGAAAGAGAAAGGGAGGAGGGAGCTGGCACCTATGGGAGCAAACTCAACCCGAGAGGGTCACCCGTGCTTATCCCACCTATGCTGGGGTGACTGCAGCACAGAGATGCATTGCAGGAGAGAACTGGCACAGCTCCGCTCCCTCCTCACAGGCAGCACTTACCCAGGAGGCTGGCAAAGGCTGAGCTGACCTGACCCCAGCGCCCAGGGTGCTCTGGGGAGGAGAGCAGCAGGGGCTCAGCTGTGCCTGACCAGTAGAGGTTGGTCCTGCCACCGGGGAAGGGGATGCCGTTGTCAGAGGTGTAGATCACCAGAGTGCTGTTGAGGACACCAGCACGCCGCAGCTCCTCCAGCACCAGCCCGATCCCTGTGGGCAGCAGGCAGAGCTGGGCAGCTGCAGGACAGAGCTGTGTGTGTGTGCACCAGCCTGCTCCTACACCCCTTACCTTGGTCCATGCGCCCGATGGTGGTGTACTGAGCTGCCAAGTCTGCCCGGGCAGCCGGTGTGTCTGGAACAAAGCGAGGGACCTACATGGAGAAAGGGGAAGTGGTGTGTGGGGCCATGGGAGGGGTGGTATTGGCACGCCAGGGCTGGTGGCTGGTTTGCAGCCCCATGGCCCCAACCTGCACATCCTCTGGGTGGTAGAGCTGTGGTTTCCAGTCAGGGATCCAGCCCATGCCGCTCTCTCCATTGCCAAATTTCTCACAAAAGGCTCCATACTGGGGCTGGGAGTGCCCGCAACGGTGTGGGTCGTGGAAAGCAACATAGAGGAAGAAAGGCCTGGAGAGGGGGGAGGCAGTGGAGCTGGGGATGACCTGTGCCCCATTGACCCCCCCCAGTCAGAACCCTCTGTGTCCCCCCACGGGGTGCTCAAGGCTCCCAGGCACACAGGGCCCCATCCCACCTCATGTCCTGGCTCTGGAGGAAGCGCCGGACCAGCGCTTTGATGCGGGTGATGTTCCTCCCCACCTGCAGCACTGAACTGTTTTCCTCCGTGTAGGCAAAGTCAAAGGGGTACACAGCCTCAGGCCCAACGTGCTTCTTTCCAATGATCCCTACAGAAACACAGGTATGTGCTGTGCCAGGAGGAGAGAGGCAGGGCACTCTCAGCCCCTCCTTCTGCCCCAGGGCTGGTGCACAGATTCTGCTCCATCACAAGTGCTGCCCCAGTCCCTGCTGCTGTATGCAGAGGCACTTCCATGTGTGGTCAGAAAATGGGACCTGCCTGGGACTGCTCTGCCCCGGCCACAGCGTGCACCAGAGCTGGAGCAGTGAGCAGATGGGGGAGGTGGGGGTCCAGCATGAGGCTGGGAGCCAGAAGGTAGCAGGAGAACAGAAGCGGAAGCAGTATGGAGACCGGGGAGGGAGCAGAGCAGGGGCACAAACAAACCCAGCACCACGCAGGGCTGCAGTCAGTGATGCCCTCTCTGTGCCGGGTCCCCACCTGTGCGGATGTTTGCCTGGCGGAGCAGCCATGGCAGGCTGCGCACGGCGTCGAAGGAGTTGAAGTGGTGCACGCCCTGGTGCAGCCCGTACATCCCATTCTGGTGCTGCAGACGGGGGGAGGCCAGGCGGTAGGACGATGCCCAGCGTGCTGACCTCCAGAACAGCACAACACGGCTGCAGTGCCGGGCAGGGGATGCCCACCTGGGGCAGCCCGGTCAGCACGCTGGCCCGGCTCGGCGAGCAGCTGCTGACGGAAGTGAAAGCGTTCTGGAAGAGCAGACTACGCCGTGCCAGCGCGTCCAAGTTGGGCGTTCGGATGGCCGAGTTGTTGTAGGCACCGCTCTCGAAGCCGCCATCGTCCGCTGCGGGGATAGGAGCGCGGGGTGAGCCTGCGGGACGGGGTGAGCCCGGCACGGCGGGCAGCAGAACCGGGGGGTGGGCAGAGAGCAGCTCACGGTCACCCCGCAGCACAGCCGCGTTCCCCTGGCACTCACCCAGCAGGAGCAGCACGTTGCGGGCGGGGGCTCCGTCGAGCCGGAGCGCGCCCAGCAGCAGCGGCAGCGCCCAAAGCCGCATGGCACCGACACCCGGCACCGACACCGGCACCGACACCCGGCACCGGCACCGACACCGGCACCGGCACCGACACCGGCGGGGCCCGACGGCCGCAGCTCCTCCTTCTGCTCCAGTCACATGAGCCGGCCGGAATGGCTCATATCCGTCCCGGGCGGAGCCGCCCGCCGGATGCAGCGCTGCGGGTGTTTGTGTTCCCGAAGCTGTCGGGAGCGACGGGAGCAGCGGGGCGGCCCGCGGGCGGAGCGGCCCCCGAGGATGCCGTGAGCCCAAACTGAGCCATGTGGGTCCCGCGGGAGCCCGGGCAGCGCTGGTGGCAGCGGGAGGTGCGCCGGAGGCTGCCCGTGCTCGGCTGGCTGCCGCGCTACTCGCTGTCCTGCCTGCGGCTCGACCTGACTGCCGGCGTTACCGTGGGGCTCACGGTCGTGCCGCAGGCGCTGGCGTACGCCGAGGTGGCCGGGCTGCCCGTGCAGGTGGGTGGCACAGCCCCGGGCTGCCATCAGCCCTGCCCACGGGGACCCACGGGTTGGAGCGGGCAGACAGAGTGGGATGGCTGGGAGGGTCGGGCAGGGCTGAGTGCAAGACAGGTGGCATAGAATCATAGAATCACAGGATGATTGGAGCTGGAAGGGACCCTAAAGGCCATCTGGTGCCACCCCAGCACTGAGCAGGGACACCCACAGCTCCATCAGTGCTCACAGCCCATCCCTGACCTCGGCTGTCTGCAGGGATGGGGCACCACCGCCTCTCTGGGCAACCTGTGCCACTGCCTCACTGCTTGTAGTGTAAAAACTTCTTCCTTATGTCCGATCTGAGTGCTCCTTGTCCCCGTGCAGTACGGCCTCTACTCTTCCTTCGTGGGCTGCTTTGTGTACTGCCTCCTGGGCACCGCCAAGGATGTGACGCTGGGCCCCACTGCCATCATGTCCCTGCTTGTCTCGTCCTACGCCTTCCATGACCCTGCCTATGCTGTGCTGCTCGCCTTCCTGTCTGGCTGCATCCAGCTGGCCATGGGGCTCCTGCACCTCGGTGAGATGCTTGTGCTGTGTGTTTGTGTTCTGCAGATGTGTCCTGCAGTCACTCCCTCCCTTTTCTTCTCTGAGATGCTGGCATTGTGCTGCTGTCACTTGTCACAGCTCCGTGTGCACCCCGTGCTCCCCATGCTCCCCATCAGTGCCAGCAGAGCAATTTGTGTCACTCATCCCATGCAGGTTTCCTCCTGGACTTTGTTTCCTGCCCAGTCATTAAGGGCTTTACGTCGGCTGCTTCCATCACCATTAGCTTCAACCAGGTCAAGGTAGGGGCTCAGCTCTGCCCCCCTCTCCTGGAGCTGTGCTGGCTGCTCAGCAGTGGGCAGCACTCCGTCTCTTCTGGAGCTGCAATGCTTCCTTTGTGGTTAACCAAAATCAGGTTCTGGGCCGCAGTGTGAGGTTGTGCAAGGAAACAGGGGATGGGGTTGGCAGGGACTGCCTGGGATGGAGGCCTCTCAGGGCCTGGGGCTGAAAGAGAACCGGAGCATCCCTGGGGCAGCCCAGGAGATCTGTCCTCACTGCGTGCTGGAGCTCAGGGAAGTTGCCCTGAGCTGTCCCAGCCTGCAGGGCCCCACGCTGGCCATGTGTGCTGGGCTTGCATGAGGCTGTCTTTCTGCACAGAACATCCTGGGGCTGCAGGGGATCCCTCGGCAGTTTTTCCTGCAGGTGTATGAAACGCTGAGGAGGATCGGAGAGACCAGGTCAGCACTGTCCCTGCACCCTTGCTGATCTCAGGTTCTGCTGCTTCACCACACACCTCTGGTCACCCTTTGGACTGTTTCTCAGTCCATGCCCAGCACAGTGACACGAGAGCTTGTTCTCTACACTTCTCAATTTTTCTGGAAATTTGAAGATGGGGATGCACATGGGCTCCTAAAGAGGGATACAGGGCAAACTTGTCCTGTTCTCTGCTCCCCGTTAGGATTTTGCCAGCCCAAAAGCACATCCGTGGGGCTGTGCATTTGTCACAAGTCCTCCTCCAATTTTTGGTAGCCCAAGAGAGGAGCTCCCAGGTTTCACACATCTCACTGTTGTGGGTAGGGGAGGTGGTGGATCCGGCTGCACGAATCCTGACCATCTGTGGGGTCCTTCTTCCCTGTCCCCAAAGGGCCCACAAGCAGTGTGAGGGGGCAGATGCTCTCTTTCCCCTGCAGCGAGGCGATGTGTTTCGCTGGTGATTCATTTTGCCGGCGGTGTCGCAGCATCCCTGCAAGCCAGCAGCCCTGACACATCCCATTGCAGGGCTGGGGATGCCATTCTGGGGCTGTCCTGCCTGGCTGCACTCGCAGGGCTGCGGGCCATGAAGAACCGCCTGCACCCTGCTGCCAGCACAGAGCCACTGGCTACCAGGGCCAGCATCCCGCTCGTCCGCAGCTGTGCCACCGGTGCGTTGCTCCCTGCCCCCTGCTCTCCCAGGACCTCGCAGCCTGGATTCCGCCCTTTGCCCCAGGTTTTCAGGGCTGTTCTCTCCCCGCAGCACGCAATGCCCTGGTGGTGCTGGCTGCTGGCTTGGTGGCATACTCCTTCCAGGTGAGCGGCTCCCAACCACTGACACTCACTGGCAGTGTTCCCCGTGGGCTCCCCCCATTTCGCCCACCACCCTTTTCCAAGGCTGTTCCCAATGGCACTGTGCCCTTTGGCAGGATGGTGCAGGTGGGTGCCAGGCTCTGGGGTTGCTTTGTCGGCACCTCGGGGCTGCGGGTTGCTCCTCTGTTCTGATGCTCCCCATCCTCCTCTGCAGGACATGGGGGCTGGGCTGGCCGTGGTCCCCCTGCTGGGTGTGCTGGAGACCGTCGCCATTGCCAAAGCTTTTGGTATGGCTGGAGGGGGCACTGTGAGGGGTTGGGGGCTGAGGGGACATTGCTGTTCCCATGAGGGCTGCGTGCTGAGTGCTTTGGGCTGTGCTCCTCTTCTTGCAGCTTCACAGAACGATTACAGGATCGATGCCAACCAGGAGCTGCTGGCCATGGGTAAGGCTGAGGGGCTTGTAGGGATGGGTTGGACCTACTGGAGCAGGGGAGGTGACAGCGGTGACACAGACCAAGTTGTGATCCCACAGCCCCTCTCCTTCCTGACCACAGGCACTGCCAACATCCTGGGCTCCTTCTTCTCTTCGTATCCCATCACAGGAAGCTTTGGCCGGTGGGTGTATGGTGGGGCTCATCCTGGGGGGGCACAGAGACCTCGGGCAGAGCCTGTGTGGTGCTGGTTCCCATGCCCTGGACCCCAGCTGGCAGCAAGGCAGGCACATATCACACAGCTGCTTTGCCCCCCAACTCCCACAGTGGGTGGGGGGCACCAGGTTTGCCAGCAGCCCCCCCAGCAGGGCCTGCCTAAGGGCTGTGCAGGCAGCAGGAAGGGCAGCGCGTGGCTCTGTGTTTCAGGACAGCAGTGAATGCACAGACGGGGGTCTGCACCCCCATGGGGGGGCTCGTCACAGGTATTGCCTCTCACCTTGCTGCTCCTGGCCTCAGAGAGCCCCAGTACATGGGGGGGCATGACTGAGACACCGCTGCTGCCCCACAGGCACCCTGGTGCTGCTGTCCCTGGCTTACCTCACCTCGCTCTTCTGCTACATCCCCAAAGCGGCGCTGGCAGCCGTCATCATCTCTGCTGTGGTCCCCATGTTTGATGCCAGGATCTTCAGGACGCTCTGGAGGGTTAAGAGTGAGGGCACAAGTGGGGTGGGTGATGCCCAGGTTGGGTGAGATGGGACGTTTCAGCCCTGGCCCCAGAAATGCCTGAGCCTTTCCCAGGGGCTGCATGTCCACGGCTTAGGATTTCTTCTTTTGCTGACCCAGTGACTGTCTCCTCCTCAGTTGTTCTGCCCTTGGGTCATAGAATCAGAGCGTGGTTGGGTTGGAAGGAACCTCACAACCCCCCTCAGACCCACCCCCTGCCATGGGTTAACTGCCCCCCACCAGCTCAGGTTGCTCAGGGACCATCCATGGCCTTGGGTACCTCCAGGGATGGGGCACTTACACTTCTCTGGGCAACAATGCTAGGGCCTCATCACCTCTGGCTAAAGAATTTCCTCCTTGCATCTGACCTAATTCTCTCCTCTTTTAGCTTAAAACCATTCCACCTTCCCTGCGGGACCAGAATTGTGTTATGAAGCACCAGAATGCTGCATCACCTTATCTATTTTCTGCTGTGCTTCCCTCTGCTTATCCACTGCTGGTTACCAACCTGATGCTGAGGTTATGGTGGCTGGAAGATGAGGCACAGCCAAGCCTGAGGCTGTCTATTTTGCAGGGCTGGACCTCGTCCCCCTCTGTGTGACATTCCTGCTCTGCTTCTGGGAGGTGCAGTACGGCATCATGGCTGGCATGCTGGTCTCAGGCATCCTCCTGCTCTACTCTGTGGCCAGACCCCCGATCAAGGTGGGCTTACACCCCGCTTGGGCTCTTGCTGCTCCCTGAGAGCAGCAGGGAATGGTGCAGGGCCCTGTCCTGCTCCTGCCCTGCCCCATGTCCCCAGCCAGCTGTCAGCACAGCCCAGGGTCTTGTTCCAAAGAACAAAAGCAAAGGAGGAACCCAAGGAACGATGGGCGGGAGAGTGAGGCATTGCTCCCCTGTGCCTTGGGTGTGTGCAGGAGGGGAATTCCTGTGAGGATGGGGGTGTGCTCACCCAGCAGGAAGAACAGTGGCTCACATTGTCACATCTGCCATTTCCTGGCTCAGGGCAGACCCCAGCCCTCAGCCCACTGTGACTCAGCCCCATGGGCCCCATGCAGGTGTTGGAGCAGGGTGTGCTGCTTGTGCAGCCGGGGAGCAGCCTGCACTTCCCTGCTGCTGACCACCTCCGGGACATCATCCGTGACCGAGCGCTGGCAGGTATGGTGTGCTCCTCAGTCATCAGATGGAAATGGGGACCCCCAGTGCTTCCCAGACCACTTCTGGAGGAGCTGAGCCCTGTAGCTATGACCAAATGCAGCTTTGGGCTGCCTGATCCACAGGGCTGTGTCCCCTGGGGCACCTGTACTGCTTGTGGAAAGTGACCGTGCATTCTCCCAGCAGCATCCTCACCGTGCTTTGTCATCCTGGATGGCCACCACATCACCAGCATCGACTACACGGCGGTGGTGGGGCTGGCTGAGCTGCTGCAGGACCTGCACAAGCACAGCATCTCGCTGGTGTTCTGCAGCCTGCAGGTACACGGACAGCCATGCAAAGCCCCAGCCCTGCCAGCACCATGCTGGCTCACACATCCCAGGAAGGGTTGATGCAGGTGGCTCAGCCTTCCTTGCTCCAAGGTGAACCCTTGGCTTGCAGCAGCCCATGTGCAAAGCACAGCCGTGTGGCTGCCTCTCTTGGTAGCATCCTTGTCTAAGAGAGGTGGTGGCTGCAGCCTCTTGAGCCACACTGTGGGGTGGTGGGGAAGGACTGCATCCCCCACACAGCACATGTGCTGCCCTGCGCTGCCCAGAGGGGATCCTGGCACAGAGCTCCCAGCCCCAGTTTCTCTGCCCCCAGGACCCAGTTCTCCGAACCCTGCTGGCTGCAGACTTGGAGGGATTCCGACATTTTCCCAGCTGGGAGGAGGCAGGTGAGGCTGCATGAGACACTCTTATGGCTGTCAGGGAGCTGGGGGAGTGAGGCTGAGCCCTGGTTTAACCCTGCCCTGCTTTTCCCCCTTCCTCACTCAGCACGCTGTAGCGAAGCAGAGCTGGAGGTCAGCAGGACAGCCTGCATTGACAGCACCGGTGAGAGCTCACTGCTGCCTGCAGGGCTCATCCAGTGAGGCAGAGCAGCAGTGTGGGGCTCGCTCTGTGCTCCAAGAGCTGCTCCCAGAGACTGCACATCCTGTGCCTGCAAGGGCAGGCAGTGCTTGGGGGAGAGACGTGGGGACACAGGAGCGACCCGATGGATCCCTCAGTGACTCCAGGATAAAGTCACCCCCTGAAGGTTCGCCCCATCCTGGAAGAAACTGCCTTTTAAAATCAGATGTTTTATTTCTGGAGGCTTTTCTTACTCCGATACACTTCAGAGAACTGTAAAATCTTTGAGTTCTGACACACAGATGCACATTTCAAGGACATAGGAGCTACCATGCAGCTCAAGGCCGCGCTGCAGCTCACAGTGCCAGGAAATTAAAGCCTCTGTTATATGCTCCTTAGCGATCCCTCTGCTCTGTGGGGCTTTCTACCAGGTTCTGCCGGGTGGTCCAACCTGTGAGCTGGGCTCTGCCTGGTGCAGGGATCATGGGAAGCAGTTGGCTGACCCCCATCAGGGGGTACAAGAAAACAGGAACTCCAGTTCCTGACTCAGCACATCTATATCTTGCTTTGGACAAAGCTGACGTGCGAGAAGGAGAAATAGACCTGCATTTTCTTGATATGGCTGAGCACAGTATGAGGAAACGAAAGCGAAAGTCGCTCTGCTGCCCACTGCTCAGCTCCCACATTCTGCACGGCTCCCATCGGTCGGAGGGCGGGGTGACATCGCGGTGATATCGCGGTGGAGGCAGCAGCGCCGGCCGGGCGCTGAGCGGCTCCCGTCCGTCCGTCCGTCCGTGCATCCGTCCGCCCGTCCATGCCCACAGGTGAGGTGAGCACACCCGGCTCCAGCTGCCCCTCGCAGCTCCGCACGGAGGGCCGGGGGGGGCGGGGGGGCACATCCGTGGCCCCGGAGAAAAGACCCGAGCCCGGATGGAACAGCGGTCCCGGGAATGGTGTGGATTGGGATCTGCGGGACTTCGTGGGGGATGTTTATTGTGAAGACTCCGAGATGGGAAAAGTGGGGTGGGTTTCGTGGTCTGAGTGGAACAAGAGCGGCAAAAGAGGCTCCGCTCCACTCGACTTAAAGCTCTGCCCGGGGCTCCCGGCCCGGTCCGCAGCCATCAGCCGACACGGGGAGCGGCGGAAGCCGACCCGGAGGAGGTGTCCGGAGCCGCCCCGTGTCCCCCCCCTCTCCCCCCGCGTGGCGTGGATTGGCCGGGAGCGGTCCGGGGGGCGGCGGCGGTGACGTTCCGCGGGGGAAACTCGGTGGCAAAACGAAACTTGTCCGGGGGCGGCAGTGGCGGAGCGGTCGGGCCGCGGGTCTCGGTGCCGTCGGTGAGCGCTGCCGGTAGGTTCCGGGGGTGGGGCAGCACTCTGAGCTGTGCTATGCTAGCGGGACGATCCGGGACGTGACCGCGGTGCTCGGCGACCCCCCGAGCACCCCGCTCCTCCCGGTACACCCGGAACAGCTCAGGCAACGGGTCATCCCCGTTCTCCCCACGGTGCACCCCGGCCGTAGCGGCACCTTCTCGCTGCCCCTCTCCCCGGGGCATCCCCCTCTACACCACTACGGTCCCCTCCCCTCGTATCCGGTGTCCCGGCCCCCAGCTCCTCCATTTCCCCCGCTGTTCCTCGCGGTGCTACCCGCCCTCCCCCGACGTCTCGCTCCCGGTTCCTTTGGCAGCACCCGCCGTCCCGCTGCCCCCGTTTCGTCACGGACCGGCAGCACGCCTCCCTGTCCCCCCACCTCACCTAACGGACCTCATTAGCATTCCGCCCTTCGTCACGCCATTGGCCCATCCTTCCCCTCCGTTTGCATATCAGAGAGGGAGGGAGCGAGCGAGCGCCTATCTGCGAATGAGTGGGCGGGGCAATTGGGAACATTTGCATATTGGCCGCGCTCTTGGCCTCGCTCCGCCTTCACTGCGGGGCGCAGGTGCGGGCGGTGCTCGGGACGGGGCTGCTGATACCGGAGTTTGGACTCTGCCGGTACCGCTCCGCCCTTGTGTGCAGGCAGTCGGTCCTGAGTACGACCCTAGACCCTCTCTGCGTTCCCATACGTGTGTAATGTTAACAGGTTTCTGTACAGAGCTGCTCATCCTTCTCTGTTCCTCTGGTCTCCTGCCCTCACAGCTGGCTGCGGGGCTGAAGGTGATGGCTGCACACTGGCCCAAATTGATCCCCAAACATAAACACTGGGCTGCGAGAAGGGTCGTATGACAAAGATCCCATACTTCACATTGATGTGTGTTTTTCTCTCTCGCACAGCTTCCTGCAGAGCATGGAGCTCCCCACGTGTCTGCAGGTCCCTGGGGATGGGCCCAGCTGTGCTCAGTGTGGGGCTCAGCCCACTGCCGGCGCAGGGGACCAGGCTGCAGGTAGGGGGCTGCAGGGTGATTTGGGCTGAGGGCTTCAAGAGGGGTGGATTGTGGGCACGGTGTTGGTGCTTTATTTAGATCTGAGCTGCCGTTTCACCAAAGGTTTTAAGTTTGGGTGAAAAGAGAACATCGCATTCCTTGCTGGGTGCTGCTGTCCTCTGTGTGGTGCAGGTCACAGAGCCACTCACTGGGAGGTTAAGAAAGCTGAGCAATGGCAGCGTGCTGTCAGCATGCATCTCAAGGAGCCTCGAGCCTTTTGGCAGGCAGTTGAGGCTCGCAGTGCCTGCTGCTCCACCAGTAGTGTGTTAGCTGGAGCTTTGGTGGAGATGGATCAGTGCCCCAACACAGGGATTTCTTATCTTATTCTGCTGCTGATTGCTGGAGCTTTGGAGAGCGGCTGCTACGGAAGGAGGGTGCTGTCATTGATAGTGGTGGCTGCTGGATGGGGAACAAAGCTACTTTTGTGCCTTCCACTGCTGCATTCAATCAGTAACTGACCCTGCTTGCTCACCAGCTGCTGAGAATTGTTTTCCTTCCTGCCCCTCTGTAGCAGAAATGCTAAGTGATTAACAAAAAGCAGTGATGGAGCACCTGGTGGGAAGGCAGGGCCAACCCAGGGGAGTTCAGTTGTATGCAATGAACCTGAGTGATTAAAAGGGCTGGAGCCAGGATCCACCCCTTCCCAGCCCTAATTTAAGGGGTGGAGGTAAGGATATCTCACTGGACATCCCTGCATACCTGAGGCTTTCCAAAGGTATGCAGGTTCCTTCCTTTGTTTCTGTGCTGATGGCTGCTGTATTTGAATATATCCTCACCTGCTGTAGGACTTTACTGCTATGCTGTCATTGCTACCATGTCCATCACATTGCAGCCTCTAATTTAACAATGATCATTCCCACTGTTGCAGAAAGAGGAAAGGTGAATCTCACTCCTGACCCTGATACAGGCCCAGAGCCTGGAGGAGAACCAAGGGACAGAGGTGCTGCTGGGCCTCCTTCCACCACTGAAACAGAGGAAGGAGGAACGCTGCAGGAGGGCACAGCAGTTCTGAGCAGTGCCTCAGAAATCACGCCTGAATGCACTGCAGCTGAGTTGTTTTCTGCTGCTGAAAGGAAGAAAGAGGAGGAAGGAGGAGCATCGCTGCAGGAGGACGTAACAGCTTCATGTGATGTCTCAGAGACTGATCCTCAGCACGTGGCAGGTGCTTCTTCCCGAAGGTCAAAGAGAAAGGTAAAGTTCCTTGTCAGTGTTACACTGAATACCACTGACAGTGCTCCTAAGCAAACTGTAAACGTGTCTGCTGATGCTGTGTTGCAATATGCAGACAGCTGATGTGCTGACCAGCACTGCTTCCCTCTTTGCTACGCTGAGGGTGAAAGTAGCAAATCCAGCTTAGTGACTGCTCTGATCCCGTTAGTGGGCATTAAGCTCACAGCTGCCCTGCATTCCTGCTTAGGAAGTTTTGAACATTGGAAATAAAGATTTCTCAGGAGTCAGTTGTGTTTCTCCTAATATATAAGGCTGTAGCTGGTCTTGTCCTTTTTCTTCATGGTCATTCTCCTGCAGCACAGTGTAGCAGAAATCTGTGCTAGCTGCAGTAGAAGAGGTGACAAAGAGCTTATCTTCAGTGATTAGTAAACTAGCATTTTCTTATATCTTTTTTTTTTTTCTTAAATTGCAGAATAGAAAGAAGAATAAAGCAAAGAACAGACCTTCTGGCCATGGGGAGCAGGACTCTCTGCCTCCTGGAAGCACAGCACCAGCTCAAACTGCAGACTTATCTGATGAATGCGTTGTTTCACAGGAAATCCAGACTTTGAGCAGTGAAGCAGCCAAACAGGATGCTGACTTAATTGCCAGTGACAATGGAGGTGTGAAGGAAAATGACAGTGCTGTGGGCTGCTTGGGAAGGGAAGCTGAAGGACTGAAATGGGTCTTGAGAGGTGCTCACAGCAGCGTGGCTGTGATGAACCCATCCAAGGAGAGCAGCACGGATAATGGGGCTGCCCCATCTCTCAGCTCTGCAGCCCTGAAAGAGAAGGTGGGAGGTGGGAGCACCGCACAGCGTGAAGTCCAGAGTGGTGTGAAAGAGAGGAGGGCTGCATCTGATGCTGGCCAGGCTTCAGAATCTGGACAAGATTCCCAGTCTTTGGATGGCAAAAAGAAACCAGCTTCAATGGGAGAGAGAACAAATGTTTCCTCTGGGATTTCCCCTGGTACTGAGGTGCCTAAAAGCAAGCCTGCAAGTTCTTGTGCTGAACATCCAAGTCAAGATGCAAAGACTTCTCTTATGTCCAAAAGCTCAAAGGCTGGGAAGGGTAAACAAGAGAACAGCCAGAAAGTGAGCTGTTCACCTTCCAAGGTAAGTGTGTGAGTGAGAGCTCCAGTGAGTATTTGGTTGTGTTGGAAAGTGTTTGTCCTTCTTGCACTGTGATTCTCTCGTGCTGTCAGTAAAGCCGAAGCTGATAAGGCAGGGATATGGGGAGAAAGCAGGGAGCACAATAGAATTCCTCTTGAGTCTTTGCTTTTTTCTGTGTGTTCTAGCAGTTCTTGGAGTGGTTGCTCAGTTACTCCAGGTGTGTTCTCCAGTGACCTCCATTGGCTCAGGCATCTTCATGCTTTTTATGCATTTGTGCTCCAATTGTGGAAAGGACTTATCAGCTGTGAACTGCTCTTGGCTGTCTTTCACTTTCTTTATGCTCCATCCTCTGGAGATTTGTGACTTAACCTCCTGGCTTTCTGCAGATGCTTGCAGGTTGAATTCTTTGTGCCATTTGTGCACTGTTTTCCCTAAGCAGCAGGTTCTCCTTTGTCTCAGTGAGGGATTGATGCTTTCAGAAGTGCAGAGCTAGCTGGCATGCTGTGATTTCTGCGTATCTCTCTCTGTCTGAAGAGATGCTGTATGTTTCTGCAGACATACTTGCAAGGTTTTTTGTTCCACTCGATGTTTTGTCCTTCTAATGCAGGAGAAAGACACAATGGAGAAAAAGACCTCAAATGAGAGAGCTCAGGAAA